TTTTCATAGCTTGGTGTTCTGCAGTTCTTCCTAAGTCACCATTTTCAGATTCTAGCAAAAATGGATCGCCAGCTGCTCGCAATGAACAGGAAGCCAGATGTCCCGTGAGTTTTGTTTTGAATTTGCCAAAAAAATTAATTACTACAGATGGGGGAACGTAGAATGGAGTTGAATCCTACATATACCAGACTTGATTTTTTGATTCTAAAGACCTTGTCTTATTTGCCTACAGCTTATTAGTCAATTCATTCCTCTATTTACTTATTTATTTATTTGCTTATTTTTTGCTGCTTTGCTACATACATTGTTAGCATGTACAGAACATACACATATTACAGTCTACTTGAAGACACCCCCGATGTTGCAAATCGTAAGTAGGAGGGTCCAGAAACGGAAGTGCAGGAGCCATTTGTAGAGTTCAAAACGGGCAGTCAAAAACGCCTCAATGAAGTCCCTTTCGTTTGCGTGGGTTGTTCGGACTTGCCGCCACCCATTGGATTTGCAGTTTCTGTGCATCTCCCTGGCACACAGTCGTTCTCACTGCATTTTTCAACTATTTGTCCTTTAACAATTGTCGAAGAGTACGTGAGACAGGAATGAGATGCTGCAAGCAGCGCTGCGATAATTAAGTTCTCGACAGAAAACGTTCCCGTGTAGAAGCTCCAGTATACAAAAATCCGACAACGAACGCTTTTCTGTCGCCTTATTGGGTATATCAAAAGCGTAAAGTGAAGTCCAGCTGTAGTTCGATGTTATTGGATGAATTATATTAAGAAAAATGGAAATCTTATCGTAGCTGCAAATATATGTGATGTTCTTGGAAATTATACTGGTGGTGAGTAGTAAAGTTTAGGATTCTTCTTCGGCCAACCCGGAGGCTGATGTACATCCGGTGGAAATCTTTGTGCCTCGATCTGAATGTTCCTCAGCTGATGTATCACGAACGAACGATCCCTCATCCACTGGTAAAAGCTTTGCTCGTTGTTCTATTCCTGAATATATTACTTTTTATTCCTCACACTCAGTCCCTGTTCAGGTTGCACCGAAGATCCAGAAATTGGCGTCATTGAGTTCAGTAATGTACCTGAGAAAGAAGAGCCACTTTTCAGCAGCCTTGTTGTGCCGAAGTGAGCAGATCATTTTTGGAGTTTCCTTCTTCAAGCGTCCAACCTAGTGAAAATGGGCTTTTCTTCTATCCTGATTCAGGGGTGAAGCTACTCAAGGTACAACTACCATCCGCATAGCTGCTTCAACCTCGGATTCTACATCTGCTGCCAATCCGCCTTCGACTGTTTCAGCAAATAACGATGAATCTTCGACTGCTTCGACTAATACTGGTGGGTATTTCCATCTCGATAAAAAAGTTTCTCTTAGCATCTCTGTTTCCAAATCCTAAAATCCTTATATTCACAAATATGAATTCATTTGGAGTTTAGCCGTCTTCATATTAACGTTCTTCATGTTTTAAGAACAAGACGTGGCTCCTGTTTATGGACCGGATAATCTAGATGTTCAAGAACACAAGCTGATCATTCATCGAAAGTTCCTGTGGGAAGGGTTGGTTCTTTGTATACCGTTTTTATTTCTAAGGGCACTGTATAGTGCTGAGATCTTTCAGAAGAGAAAAAAAAACTGAACAGTCACTTGAAAGTTTTTTCTCTGATTGATTCATTCAAGATTGTCAGTTCATTAATTAGATTTTGAATGTTAACGTTCGAATAGCATCTACGCCCATAATGGCCTATTTCAGACCTCCTCCACCACCTTTAGATGCGGAGCAAACCCAACAACTTGTTTGTTTAGCGCGAAATGAGTGCCCATTTTGCACAGTAAGATTTTCACATATTAAGAGGTCTGCTGCCTGTTTATTGATTAGAGATCTGACACAAATTTGTAGACTGCTCGTGGACCTCGCGGTCTTCGTATTCCACAATTCGCGAACGACGAGATCAAAGAAGAAAGTATGCTCGCACATGTTGTTAAATTCCATTACAAGGACCCCGCGGCTCGTTGGGTGTTGAATGCGAAACGGTGATGACCTTATCTAGACTCATTACCACAAGAATTTTGTTATTGTTTGAGTTTGCAGGTTCCACATGTCGACTGGAGGTCGTCAAACCCCTCTGAAATTTCTTTTGGAACCCACGAATGTAAGTTTTTCATGTAGGTGGCATGCAACGTAAATAGAACAGTACTCCTCTTTTGCGAAAAAGTATGATGGTACAGATGACCATCTAACAAGTCAAGTTCAGAGCATTGTTTGGCCATGGTGTTCGTTGTAGTACCTTGCACAGTTAACATTGAAATTAACGGGGGTTCCAGCCGATTGTAAGGAAAAATTGGAAATGAGTAAAAGTGAGAAAGAAATGCGATTATGCAACTGAACAAGGTGCGCTAGAGCTAATGGTTGAAGTTAACCAAAGTAATGTGAAGAAGGAGATGTTCAAAGATGGTAACTCTTGGTTTCCCTGTTGTAAGGCAACTTCCGTATTTGCGATGGCGTGCTAGGTCACGCAGCAACGCGCTACACGCTGCCGTGTACACTACGGGGTAACAGTCTGCCGACAGAAATTCAAAAAGGGATGGAACTAGAATCAAGGCAAGCATAAAGGGATGGAACATATTCGAAGAATGCATGAAAGTCACGAGAAGAGAACTTTCAGAAGTTTCAAGTTTTCGAAGGGAAAACGGATTTTCCGCTAAGTCAAAGGCCATACAGCTCTGAATAAGGTTGTTGTTATGAAATGCAGATAAGAACGTGTTTTTAGGATGGATGGTTGCTGTGCTCATCGTGCGAAAAGGCATCCTTTGACAGAATAGCTAATCTTCGTGTTCACTGGGCTTGTTGCGTTAATGTTTGTGGAAGATATCGGAAGGATCTACGTGAAGGAAGATTGGTCCTTGAGTCGCCTTCAACAGTTGGGAAGCTTCCTAAGCGTCGAGGGAAAAATGAAGCGTTAGTTCATTTTTAGAGCTTAGAATTTTATAGCAACGTTCTGAATTCTTTGCATTTGCTCACGATTCGGAAGTGTTTTCATTATTTTCGTGACATGCTCCCCTCCATAAAATTTCAGAGTTAAATGCCCACTTCCAACATGCGTTTCTGCGTGGCGTCCAAGCTTCAAATATCCTAATTCTGTCACCCAGATTGCACACATGATATCTCATCACGGCACGGATAAAGAAGCTTACGAAACGGCATTGAAATTAGGGTAAGTTCACTCGAAATGTATTATATGAAAATTCAGAACGAAAAACTTGTTCCTTTTGAAGTAATGTGGGGAAAATGCTCCACATTTCAGAGAAACTGAAAGACTTGCTGAGGAATTCCCCTTCCTGGATGTGGCGAAATCTTTTGCGAATTCACTTAATGGCACAGAACTATGTCTTCAGTGTGTTAAATGCGATCGAGGGTTTCACTCTCCCTACGAGTTGGAACAGCACGCGAAGCGGTATCATCCAACGGAAAAGCATTACTCGTAGGTTTCCAAGATTCGAACCTTTGGCTCTAATCGCTGTATTGTGCAGTAGAGTTTGATGTATTTGAAGGGATCGTTGCATTTTCATGGAAGTGTTTTAGAAAAAAATTCCTTGAAGGTTTCCTAATATCTTGAACACTTAATTGACTCCACCTTACGCCACTGTTTTTCACCACTGGTAGATATTTGAAATATTGTCACGTATTCCGTCCACTGCTCTTTTTCCCTGCTGTTATGTTTTTCTTTGTATTCCCAAATGTTCTGCTGAAGGCATAATCCACGTTGATCATTAGGGCTTATTGTTGATCATTCTGGCTTATTTAGATGTTTCGACCCTTGCGTTTTTTTGCTTGTTCTCTTTTTAGGTTTAGAATAGGCGTCAGTCAATCAGAAACGCGAATTTGCCCGAGTGGCTGTACCTCTAGCACCAGCGCAAAATGTGGCTTACACCCGTATTTTCAATCACTGTCTCCTCTTTAGATGACTGTTTAATCTGATCAAAGGTTGTCCCATTTTATCGACCACTCCGGGCTTCTGCTCCTCCACCACTCCTTTCATCTCTGGCGAACTTCTCTGACTTCTGTCGTCATTTACCTGCTGTCTTTCTCATAAGGACAGAATCAAGTGTCCAACACTTTCCTGCATTTTTAGTTTTCTGAGCCCTTTCGTGGATGTTTTCACTATTTTTATTACCTTTTTCAGCCTTAATGCAAGCTTTGTGCCTACCTGCTTCAGATGTCACCCCTAGTATCCAGTCGCGGGTTCGCGCGCAGAGCAGCAGGTTGTTTCCTTGCTAGTTGACTCAATACAACGCAACACTGCAAGACGGGTCCTAGACCGAATGCACAAACTTTGCAAACGCCTTGTTCGAAGGCTTCTGTCGCCTTCGCCTCTTTGGGACGCGTCCTTCGCCGCACTAACCTTGACTCAGGACTAAAGAGATACAGTTGCTTGGCAAGAGTTAACCTATGTTGGGTTACAATCCTATTCGTTCATGTACTTCAGGGGAGCACCAAAGTGCCCGTTTGGATGCAGTAAACGATTGCAACGGCTGAAAAGCGGGGTTACTGATAACGTCTTGCGACTTCTTCATGTTATGATATGCCATCTACCAGATCCAGATGCAGTAGCATGGGTAGAAAATTGGATGAAGTTAGTAGCTTTATATCATCGTAGAAAAAATTCGGGCAGAGTTCGGCTTGGCGGGGGCATTGAGTGGTATTCAGCGGAGCCGGTACAGGTCACTTTGTGAAGACTCGTGAATTCTTGTAGCCGGTGTGCCTCGCTTGAACACTTCTGCAGCTTTGCAAGAGAATAACACTAAAACAAGGTCTGTTAGCTTAAAACAAAGAAACAGTAGGAACTAGCAACAGTGGAAAATCCTCCCAAGCCGAACTGCGCTGGGATTCGCAATAGCACAGTCTAATTCACTAATGTGTTGCTATTCCACAGAAAGCACGAATCTGTCATGGAGAGTGAACCTGTCTTCAAGTTTGACGTCCGGGAGTCGCTCAACACCTTCTGTGGAATCTGGCGAATGTCACATCATGTGCACTTGGTGCAGGTTTGTGTTGTGTGATTTGAGTACTTGTCTTCGTTTGCCATGACATGAGCTGTTTTAGCACTTTGATCGAGGGCCACAAATATTTCGCGCATCGAAGGCGAGGAAGCGGTTGCTACGACCGCACAGAGAGAGATTCTGTTAAGGATGGTCATTGTCTTGCACAAGGAATAAAATACAGCCGTTTTCACTGCAGACTCTGGTCTTCATATAGTCCATCAGTCCTGTTGAGGCAGGCAAGCAAGCGCAGCAATTGATTGCAGAACGGGTTCGCTGCCGCGCGAATCTCAGATTTCTCCTCGTCCTCCCGCCTCCGAATAGCAACCCGATGCCCAGTGTATGCAGCGAAAGCAGCTGAATGTATGATTCACATATACCCCTCCTTGTCATCGTGAAGAGACGCACCTACTACGTTTCAAATAATGTAACGGGAATAGTAATAAAATACCGATGTCCAGCACTTACGGCGCATGTATCTTCGAATGATGTATGAGCGCATTGCTATTGGGAGATGAGAAATCGCATCCAGAACAAGCGTAGGTGAGACTCTTATAACGAGTTTGCTCAACAACTTGCTCTCTTCCCCGCAGCTATTCCAAAATCAATCAAGTTCAGGAGAGTGATCGGACTCGCTGCAACGAAACATCATAAATGAGTGCAAGCACTTCTAGAAAGCCCTACTCATCACCAGTTTTTTAGCAAACTGTCGCGAGGCAAGGTTAATGAAAGCCGTACTATGCAGTTATAGCTTCTCGAAGGCGCTCCTCATCGTCAACGTGCTTCTCGAGGATGTGACATAATCGCTGATAGGACTCCTTTACTTCAGCACAGACGCGAATCTTCTCACCACAATGACAAGGCTCCGGATAATTGCTAAAACATCTTTTCAGTCAAAGGACAATTGGATCCAACTGAAAAGAAAGTTCCCTGATGACCCCCCCCCCCCCCCCCCAGTATTCACGCCAACCAAAAATCTTCATAAATGAAGACTCACCCAAGATCTCTCATCAAATCTTCATGATGACGGGCATGCATTGCAATCCGTCTCGATGTGTCGGTTTTGAAGCCACAGATGACGCATTGGAGGACAGGCTTTCCTGGAATTTTTAAATGTTCACTAGACACACGACAGTTTCATGGGCGCACCACCATGTGCGTCACACAGGTTAGTCTTAGCGATATTCGAAGAAAAAAGGGCTAGTGGCTCAGTGAGTGAGGGTCCATAGACCTCGGTCAAGCGAACGGAAATGTCTTTAAGAATACTACCTACCAGAATTGGAAGTACCATCAACTGAAGCTTTGACATCGATAAAGGGGAATTCTTCTGCACATGTGGAAGAGTACCTAAAATGAGAGAAAGTATAAGAAAACCTACAAATGGCATGCATTAAGCTTCAGGCTTCAATAAAATATTGCTTATCGCTGGTTCTCGGAAATAGCTCCGCTCAGAAAATCTTCGACGCTTTACAAAAGAGAGACAAACAGATACTTTAAAGACTTACCCGTTAATGAGAGCATTTTGGGCCTCTTGGTCATTAATATGAATATTCAAAACGTGGAGGAACGTGGATACTCTCTCGGAGTACTTCTCAGTGATAATGATGTTCTTTGAGCACAGCCTAAATGTTGACGATTAATATTCCACGAAGAAATCTCGTTAAGTATATACCATACGATGGAATGGAACCAGAGGATAATTTCCAGCTAAGAAAAGATACTTTACGAAAACTCTTCCCGGAAGTTTCTTCAGAAATCGGTTGTGGATACTCATCCCATAAATATTTGTAACGGGCAAAAACGGGCAAATATCTGCTCCATCACGAATATGTAATGCCGCACAGTAATGTCCTGCGTTCCCCTTATTGTGACTGCCGATTTCCTGATGGTCCCTCGCCGTATCACATATTCGAAATAGTAACTTCTGCTAAGAACCGAGGTCTCTGGCATCTGACTCTAACCTCAGGCAGCATCGTTGTGGGAAATCCCCAGTAGTGGGGGGGGGTCGTAATTTGGCTGCCAGGGGGGGGTCGTATCTGGGTTGGGGAAAGCATATTTTGATAGTTGATTTTTCTCGCTTCAAGGACGTTGTAAAGGGAGGGGGGTCGTACTTGGTCATTTTTGGGAGGGGGTCGATCGAAATTTACGTTTCGGGAGTGGCGGTTGACTTTTGGTGATTTTCCTGTTTCACGTACTATATGCCCCCTCCCCCCGCTCGACGGCTCGATTCGATGAGGAAAGACAGAGGGCTGGGGGGGGGGCGTCGTATGGAGTTCGACTAAAAGTCCCAAACTTCGACTACAATAAATCCCAAAAAACCAATGATGTGCCCCGCTCTACCTTGCGCCAAAAACAAGTGGAGAGTTGCTGCCTTCAGGCATTCGAAAATAAACAGGACGAGCAAACAGGTGCACAACAAGCCTGAAAACGTTAATATCGTAATATGGTGCTGTCCCGGAGCCTCATTGTAATCTGAACATGAAACACGTGAAAGAGGCGCCAAAAAATTTATTGCAAAAAACTCAAAAGACTCAAAAGAATCCAAAAGAATCAATGAAAACATCAAAAACACCCAGCCCCTACAATAGTTCCTGGCACCTTTCACTAAATTCATTGCACGACAGTGGGTGCAGTTTTACAGTTCTCGGTGGTTTCACTACAGTCTCAACAATCGAGAAAGCAGGTTCGGTTATCGTGGGAACGTGAAGAATGGTGATACACCCTTTCAGAGGATACCGCATACCCTTGAACAGCGGAGTCCACTCGGATTGTCCTGTACTCCTAAGTTGTTTGGTTTCGAACATGGTTTTTGACCCTATTTAATCGATTTTACTGCATCTTGGTCTCACTATTGTAATACCTGCCAGTTGATGGTTCTCAATGAGTTCTCTATTTATGTCTACTCATTTGGGCGACTGATCAAGGTTTAAAAAACAAAAGGAACAAAAATAAGTAAATAAGCTGCATGAAGAATTAGAGAGCTGTCAACGCTTACTTGCAAACTATGAATGGATTCTTTCTGATTTTCGATGAGCCCGGCATTTTGCCTGGTTCCAGTGATCGCCGTTTTCGACCAGCTCTCTCCTTACTTTGCTCAATCATAGCTTCTGCTTTTCCGGGACCTGAATAATGGAGAAATTTCCAATATTAATACATACACCATAAGTTCTCTCCCATCAATCGAAGCAGGAAATAACATAGCACATGTGGTGAATCGCTTGGGATTACGTCTATTAGCAGAGCCGGCTGTCTTTAGAGTTGCTCTATACTTTACCACGGGACTGACAACATGCAACACCAATTATAATCCCGGAATAGCCGACTGACCACAGACTCAATCTCCATGGATCGACTCGACTGTCTATTTATGTCGAGTCGAGGAGCAACATAT